ATGGTGGTAAGGAAATTGGGGGTGCCTCGGAGGTTGGGAGGAGACACAGCCCACACAGGTGACCCAAACTGGCCTAAGGGAAATTCCAAACCATATGACATCATGCTCAGGATATAAAGTGTGGGGAAGAAAGGACAAGGGAGGATGTTTAGAGTGATGGTGTTTGTCTTTCCAAGTCACTGCTGCATGTGATAGGGCCCTGATCTCCCGGAGATGGCTGAACACCTGCCTGCCAGTGGGAAGCAGTGAATTAATTCCTTATTATCTTTTGCTTGTGTGTGTGGCTTTTGATTCCCCTATTAAATTATCTTTATCTCAGACCATGAGTTTTCTGGCTTTTACCCTTCTGATTCTCTCCCTGACCCCACTGGTGGGAGAGGGAGTGAGTGGCTGTCTGGGGCTTGGCTGCTGGCTGGGGTTAAACCACAACAGCCAGAAGGAGCCAAGCACTGGGGATGGGCTGAGTGTTGCTGAGCAAGTGGTCAGCAACTGTATTGGGCATCACTTGTTTTACTGGAGGGTTATTTTCTTTCTCATTTTTCCCTTCCTTTTAATCACTATCATTAGTATCATCATCATCATTATAATTGCTACTATTAACATTAATATTATTATTTTTTTTGTTTGTTTCACTTATTAAACTCTTCTTATATTAGCCCATGAGTTTAACTTTTTTATCTGGTTCTTCTCCCCATCCCTCTGGGGGAGCAAGTGAGTGAGCAGCTGTGTGGTATTTACTTGCTGGCAGAGTCTAAACCGTGACAGTCCTTTGACCAACACAGCTGTAACAAAATTGGTTCTGCTTTGTCTTTTTCTAGTTAAACTCAAAACCCCAGAGCAGAGTCTTTCAAGGTGTATATTGGATCAGAATCTGCCTTAATGCTTTCAGCAGTGCCTTTTTTATCTATCTGTTCCATAAAAGAAGTGGTAGGGTCTGACTTGGGGTAAATTTGAATGTAAGTACGCATTGACACTGCTTACATGTCAGGATCAGTATGTTGGCAAACTGGGTGTTACAAACAGTATGAGACAGCCTTATTCCACCAACCTGCAGCCCTATTTGACTGAGCATCCTCACCTTCACAATCCCTGACTTTTGTAATCTGAGCAGGTTTGTAAATACACAAAATGTTAGAGTTGGAGAAGCACTTTCAAATAGCTTGTCTCAAAGTATGTAGTGTAGTTTAAATTATGCGACTGAATCCTTCATCACTCAAAAATACAGAGGCGCTTTCTTTCTGGAGTAAAATATGATAAATAAAGACAAAGAAATTCTGGTGAATAAATTGACCTTCAAAGCTGGCAGGCTTGGTAAAAATTGCACCTGGAAGGCTGAAGAGATAACTTGCCTGTCATTGCTTAGAAAGAGCGTGGCTTGGTAGCTGGTGCTATTCTGAATACTGAAATACACTCTGTAGTAATGCACAGGCTGTAAGTTTGATTTGTTTATTTATTTATTCTTGAGTTAGTGATGTTGAGTACTATCTTTCCTGCACCATGGAACGAAGAAAGCATGAAATTTTCTCAAGTAGTAAATATGGTTTTTATTCTTCTTGGCAGTCATTTTTATATTTTGAGATACATGTAACAAAACCTGTGTTTGGGAAATCTAGAAGAAAAAATTATCACAAAATCCTGAAGAAACAGGTTTTCCTTCAAATATACAAGCAAAGACCAGAATACTGTAGACTTCTATTCTCATTAGATCTATATCTAGCACAAGACTTGGCATAGCATTTGGCAAGATTAAAACTATTACAGAGTTGCCAGCAAAGGGTGATTTTAGGATGAGTTTATGTCAAGAAAATTAAAAGGAAGGCCAGATCAAAGGTATTTTTTAAAATACATTATTTTATTTTAATCAGTTTGGGCCTATTCTTTGACTGAGCTAATAAAGAGAAATAAAGTAAAACATAATATCTTTTTCACCTTTATAGGTAGTTCATATGTAGTTAATGTCTTTTAGTAGGTATGTTTCGAGTACAGGTAATTTTCTTTGGTTTACTGGGATTTTTTTTTTATGAGATTTGGCCTTCTCTTCTAGGGAAGACACAAATAAATGAATTTTGTGGGAGGAAAGCATATTTTTAGGAGCCTTTCATTTGAAGCATCTGGTTATAAAATATTTTGGGTATGATGTTCCAAAAATGAAAGCGAATACATGCTTTAGTATTATTGCTTTAAACCCCATTTATTCTTCTAACTCATCAAGTCCTTAGGAATTAGAAAACTAAACCTAGCATTTGATGTTGTCCATGTAGAAATGTCCTCTTTGGACTGTAGTTACAAGTTTAAATGTTTCTATCATGGTTCCAAACATTGTAGAAGTCAGCATGTATGCTTGCTGTGCAGTGATCTGTATATTGCACAGCATAAAAGCTACATTTGAAATGATCTTTCCGTTCTGTAGGCACAGAGGGATGTGTTAAATTTGTACTAGAATTGTTAATAAACTTGTACTTTAGATATTTAACATGATGGTGCTTAAACCTTTTAAGAGGACGATAGTTGCTGAAGTGAAAAGAACAGCCTCTTTGTTTAAACAAACATTGGCACTGCTTGTGTACTTTCAGCTAGGAATAAATAGATTGTAAGTCTATAGCTAGCTGTATATATTTGTATACAAATATTTATAATTTAAGTAATTTTATGATGTACCAGAAAAACTATTAACCATTTATTTTTCAAGGGCTGACAGACTTTTCTCTAGTCTTCAAAAATTCTAATGCAAAAAAAAAAAATTCTTAAAATGTAAGCAGTAACACATATAAAGATAGACAGTGAAGTCTCAAGCCTGTTGTTCAGGGATTTCTATGGATTCAGAGAGACTGCTATTTTTACTTATTACTTTGATGTAGTTTGAGGAGGACACCCATTTATATTTGTGTGTAACAAAAAATCAGCTAACTGATTGCATAATATTGGACTCCTCATTGAAATTCAGTTTCTTCTTTGACTTAAATAGCAGTAACAAGAGGACCAGAGAAGCTGGAGGGCTGCTTCATCTCCTGAGTTGCATGAGGAGCTGGGAGTTACAGGGCAGCTGCTCTCCTTGCAGAGGTTGTGCCTTCTCCAGACCAGTGTGGGATCCTGTGTGTGTAGAAGACTGATGAGCTGCTCAGAAAGCATAGGGGTAGGGCAAATGCTGTCCTGGTTTTTGTGCACCCTCAACGCCTCTGGAAGTTTCTTTTTCTGTGAAGACCAAGTCTGTCAGTCAAGCTTCTGTGTTTTGGTGGGTGGCAGCAGCAGATGAGACTGATTTTGTGGTGGTTTTGTGCATTATTATTATACTTCTAAATATGGATGATGCCTATTTAGTGTGTTTGAAACAGGATTCATGTTTCTGGTAAGTTTATTTTTCTTCAAACCACAAAAGGCTGCGCTAGGGGGTGTACATTGTATTATATATTCAACCATGATTTTCCCACAGTTTTTTTTAACTTCTACATAGGCAATAAAAAAGAGATAGGGACAACTGGACATGAGAAATTCAAGACACATTTGCCTGCTGGATTTTTAGGTCTGCTGTAATCCCTGGCCCTAACTTACTATCTTTGCATGACGTACTTTAGGGACTTAATAGGACAGGCAAACACTAGCTTAAAACTGCTTTGGTCTTTAGGGCTTCTAGTAATTAAAAGTTTCAAAGCAACTTTGTAAAAGTCTGTCTGACAAAGTGCATCTGAGTAAATGCTGGGATAAACCCTGGCTGGTGACACTGAGGGAGTCTGCCATGAGTCCTGGTGGAGCAGATGGTTTGAGATGACATTCCCCTTCACCTCAAATTCGTGCAGAGAAACTTCTCTTGAAACTTTTACACCACCAGGGAGCTGGAGGACAGTATTCTGCATGTATAGCATTGAAACAGACACTTTGATTTTATTCCCTAGACTCACTCCTTGGCAAAATATGAAATAAATGTATACATTGATGTTCACACTCACTTCCATCAACAGCATCCAGTAAAACATTTATTGTTGGTAATACATGTCCATCTGTTTAAAGTTTCTTTAGTCTTTTGTGCAGATCGTGTTGCAGAAAAAAAAATTAATCACTTAGAAATTTTTTTTTTTTGCCTATTTTGACAAGAGGTTTTAAATCCCTGCAGTTCAGGTAGCTTAGAAATCAGCATTCTTACACAGTTAAAAAGTGTATCTGCAACGGTGAATTGTTTGATTAAATGAAATGTGACTTTATACATATAATAAGGCAATCAATTTATGAATATTTATTTATAAACTGATAATCTATTATAAAACTGAATTCTAAGAAAAGTACTGAATGGTGTTCTTTTTAAAAATTATTACTCATTTATAAGGGATCAACTGATTAAAGTGGGAGTCCTACTTATTTCCTGTAAATGTGATTGTAGAAAAGTTAAAGGTAAAAAGGAAGCAGAAAAACTATACCTGGTTGTGAACATCATTCAAATTAGGAATTTTGTCAGTTGAAATGCTCAGTATGAATCAATATCACCAGCTCCATGTCCATTGGTGTGTAGTCTCCTCTTCCCAGGCAAAATCAGTCTTCAGGCTTGCTGGCACTAAAGGCCTTTGTTGCAAGATCTTTTGTCATTGTAGTTGAGGATCATGCCTGACCAGAGGGCACTCCTGGTCTTCTGTGATTATATCCAAACTGGGGCACAAATGTACAACTCTTCTGTGAGTTTGAACTATTCAAAGTGTGCATCTATTATCCTTTGGCTGTAGTCATTAGTTGCTCTTAAAACTATTTATTCAAGTGCAGTATGGTTCTCTGATGCAAGGAACATGAATGCAATGGAAAGTAATGTTAAAGAACCTTCCACTGTGTGTGATTCCTGTGTGATGTATTTGAACAGCAGGGTCTTGTGTAATGGGCTGGCTATTACTGGACATCTGTCAGAGCAGCTCTTTTTTGCATTTGGTATTTTAATATCATATATGGATGCCACAGATTAATATTTCCAAAATTTGTGTGTAGAGTAAACATAATTTCTGTTCTTCATTCTTTTTTCCTAGTCTGGGACCGTGAAGCTGACTAAGCCTGTGGCGTTATGGACCCAGCAGGATGTCTGCAAATGGCTGAAGAAACATTGCCCTAATCAGTATCAAATCTACAGTGAGTCATTCAAACAGCATGACATAACTGGTAAAGTATGCACTATCAGCAATATTTTACTTACTTAAAATGTGGTGAATTGTTTTACTTCACTGTTAATAGATTGTGACTGTGCACTGAGGCTTTTTTGTTGAATGTGTGACTAGAGAGTTGCAAGGTTTAGAGCAGAGGGAGTATTCCAGCTTTCACAGGATATGGTAAGTGATAGCCTCATTTCTTCAAACGACAATTTCAGATAGTTCAGGGTGAATATAATAAATAAAGAAATCAGTCTGTGTGTGGGTAAAGGCCTCACCCTGTTCATTCCAAATAAAAAAACCCCAAACCCAGCCATTAAGAAACATCCTATGAGGAAAGTGTAATTTATGTAAATTTTCTCTTTCATTGAGGTGTTTGACTTTCCATTCATATTCTTTTTTTGTGCCTCTCCCCACTCTTTAAAAAAAAAAATTAATCTTTGTGTTCGTAGGATTTTGGGTAGGAAGTTATCCCCTTAGTCTGAAGCAGGATCAATATGCAAGTTCAATTTGCTCTACTGATGTCCTTGCTAGACAGATGTTTGTCTAGCTTTGTTCTGGAAAACTTGCAATGAAGCAGATTTTTGCATCTCTCTATTCCAGTATTTTATGGTTCTTAAAGTCAGTATTTTCCTAGGATCAATCTAAAATCAATCTAAACTATTATTTCCAGCCAAAAAACCTGACTCCTGTCCCAAATGTGGCTTGAGTACAACCAACCACTCTTTTGTACAGCCTTTCCTTCATCGTATAGGGTGCTGCTTCTCAGTTACACATACTTTCCTTGCCTAGTGTAAAAAATATTTCTTTGTTCTATCATGGTTACTCCACAAATACACACAGGACCTCCAAACCTTCAAAACTGTCTCTCTTTTCTTAAAAGAATATATTGAATGTAAAATTGTATTGTTTTCTTATTTACTTTAGAAATTGATATTGATCCTGTTGTGAGCCGCTTGACTTGTTAACTCCTACTCAGTTTGCTGTAGTTTTCTTTTGGCTGATCACTTTGAATTGGCACAAGTTTAGCAAATGTAACTTGGGAGTTAAATAGCATCTTTGCTCATATACCAACTAGTAATTAGTCTGTAATTAATTGTAAGTTTAATATGGAACACTGATTTGTTCTCTGCAGTGGTGGTATGCAAAACTGGAAATTGGCATTCAGCCATTGAGCGTTAAGCAGGAATTTGAGTTTCACATACAAATCTCAGTCTTAACAATAACGCATTGTTAACTAATGTGTGTTTCAGTCAGTGTCTGATCACGTACATGTGTACTTGTGTTGTTTCCAATTTTGCCTTCATTCCTATTGCTATTTTCTTTCTGATAATATGTGAATGATTGCAAACATGACAAACTGCCCATATTTGTTTACTATGTAGCCATGAGTACATGCACACAAATGTAAGAGGTGGTTTGTATTGGTTTGCTAAGTGTTAAGGTTTAGTACATAACCATTGTGCCCATTTCCTCTCAGTTACCATCTGCTGAATGCCGTCTGTGGGAATGTAGTCTGTGTCTCCACCCATGTGTACAGAAATTACTGCATCCAGAGCACTACCAGAAGAAATGAAGCTATTTTGAAATATTTTCTAGTACTGCTTTACTATATTCTCTTTCTAGAATTATTGCACTGTGAGATGAAGTTGAAAGGAAGACATTTTCATTTCAGTATAAACACTGATAGAAACCTTGGAGTTTCGTTGCAGACATGCGAAAATTTGAACTTTATAGACCTCTATGAAAAAGAGGAATTGTGATCAATCTTTCTTACTTTACACAAAAGAGGTATAGGGAAAATACTGGTACGAGTGTTACAAAGTAAATCCACAGGAAATAACTTTATTTCAGCAACTATCAAAGAAGAAACACAATCAATATCTGTACCTTGAGATTTTATGAAAGTATATTGTGATAATATTTTGAGTGGAGTCATTAACTCAGGAGGGTATTTCCAGTGCTGTTGGTCCCTGTGAGTCTGATTATTTGAAATCTAATAAAGAGAAAGAACAGATTTGTGGCTCAGAAAAATTAGAGCATGGAAGGAGCATGGAAACTAATGTGAAGATTAAGCCAAGGTAGTATAAATATTCCCAGATATGGCTGTAGAAAACTGATGTGATTGTTGAAAATTTCTCAGTGATTAATGTGACTTTACAGGCTGTTTTGATATGGAAAAATATGATGGAAAATTTCTTAAACAAAGTGACACGAAAATTATATTTAAACTTTATTCGAAGATAAAATCTAAGGCATGGTCATAAGCCAGGAAAATAATCTTGAGCAAACACATCAAACAGTTGTTAACCATAGGTATTGAGAAGTGTGGCTTTTACTTGAGACTCTTGCCGATTACAGCTTATCAAGTTGTGGACAAAGACACAACCAAAACTATCTTTATCTTTGTGGAGATTTATACCTTTTTACTAGTTCTGACAAAGAGCAGCTGCAGATGTATAAGAAAAAAATTCTTCATCTGGAAACTTACCTAGTAAGAAAAAAGATCTTCATATTAACAGTGATCTTGAGGATGTTATGGAGTGTACAGAGTATACTCTCATCAGATTTGCAGATGACAGCAGATGGTGGGTACCAGTCTATAGACTCAAGTAGGGACAATCCATAGGATCTAGCCATGGGGCCAGACATAGGCAAGAATGTATTAATAGGACCTTTATGAAATTCAACAAGGACAATTGCTAAGTTGTGCTGCTGGGAAGGCCAAGGCTCTTGCATCCCACTGAAACTGGGGCTGACTGACTGGGAAGTGGCTCTAGTGAAGAGGACCTTGATAGTCAGGAAGGCAAAATGAGCCAGTGTTGTGCCTTGCAGCAAAGAATGCTGTCACTGTCAACAGGAGCACAGTAACCTGATCAAGAGTAGTCATTACTCCCTTTGCTCTGTACTTCTTAGACTGCAGTTCTTAGATATCCAGTGCAAGTTAGGGTGAGGGCAGCAAAGATGCTCAGGGCTAGAGCTCTTGCCCTGTGACCAGTGGATTTAAGGAGTTGGGCTTGTTCAGACTGGAGAAGAGGCAGCTTGCCAGCGTGGGATGAGGGCACTGGCAGCAGCTCCCACTATACAGAAGGATTTGTTAAAAAGATGGAACAGGTCCCTTCATAGTGATGTATGAAAGACACGAGGCAGAGGCTGAAAATAAGGAGAAACTTTCTCCCCCTGTGAGGACTTTTGAGCTTTGGAATGGGTTGCTCAGTTTCTGTTCTGGGAAGGTTTCAAGCCCCAGCTAGATAAAACCTTGAGAAACCTGATCTGATCTCATAGCTGACCTTGTTTAAAGCTGCAGGTTGGGCTAGAAATCTGCTAAGGTCCCTTCCAATCTGAATTCTTCTATGGTCCTATGATTTGCTTACTGAGTACTTACTGAGTACCTCAGAACCATCCAGTGAAATGCATTTTGCAGCCAGATAGGGCAAATGAAATATGGAATAGTCTAATAAGAAACTGTTAGACTTTTTAATTCATTAAGTCCTTGGATTCAAGGAGTGGAGCATGTGCTTGAACCTTATTCAGCTGCAGTTGAGAAGTATTTTTAAGGTGTTGAACCCAAAGACAGAACAGAAAGAATTTGAAGCAGTAGTACTGAGCAAGATCTAAGGGCACCTGACAGGAATTAGCAGTGGTGGGAAAAATCAGAAAGGGGAGTTAAAAAATGACAGCAGCCTGTACAACAAAGAAGGCAATGCTGTGGTAGGGTCCTGTCACTAGAGGCTCTACAATGGCATTTACACCAGTAGGAGGAGCCATAAAAAATTGCATTGACCTGCCAGTTTTTATACCAATATATTCCTGGAGATAAAACTGAGAAATGGACCTTGCTCTGTGTGCATTTGTTAGTTCGAATTTGCTGGGCAGCAGTACTTTTAGATGACTGGTGAATTTTAGAGAGATGAGTTCTTTGATGGTCTTATCCTGTACCATTGAAGTAAATGAAGATTTTTCCAATGTCTCAGCATTAACAGGAACAAGACTGGGCATAGAATGACTAAGGAATAACTATTTGGGGGCAAATGGTCCATTGACAAAGTAAGAAAGCACATGTCTAAGTAATTTTTTATGGATGTATGATTTAGAGGGAGGAAGTCAGGAAGGAAGGAGGAAGCCCTGCTTCATGTTTTGTTTTTACACCATGTTCCCCAGTGTACTAGTACATGTCTTCAGAGCAAGAGCTTTTAATGCTATGATCATTAAACAAACCTCATTCTATCAAATGAATACCCAAGAGGTACCTTGGTCCAATTGAAGAAATTTGATAGGTAGTACTTGAAAGGACTCAAGCCTTTTAAAATTAAACTTTTAAGAAGGAAAGGAATGGGATTCAAGAAAATCTCATTTTAGTTTTAGAAGGGACTAGAACTTCTGAATATTCATTAATACCAAACGGCACCTTGGAAAAAGAAATATGAATTGATACTGAAAACCTGCTGCAAATAATCTTAAAATCTGGCTAATTCTAGATCTTCTAAAGATGCTTGCATTAAATAAGCTTTATTGACATAAATAAGTTTTATGACATGAAATTCATATAAAATCATGCTTTCAAAATCAGCATTGATATTTTTTTCACTTCAGTAATGTATTTATAGATGTTAAGTTTATCATCAGATGAAATGTTCAAGTTATTTAGCATTTTAATGAAGGGATAGTCTCATGGTTTAAGATACTACACTGGAATGTGGCAGTATCTTGTCTCTATTTCAGTTTACTCTGATAGTACGCTGGAAGTTCACTTTGGAAACATACTGAATCCTCAGGGTCTAAGTTATTCTTTCTCTATACAGAGAAATGTTTTTTAAAATTAAAGTGTTTCCAGATATCTTTCCAGTTTTTAGAACATATATAATTTATTTCTGCCCTTTTTTTCATGGGCCTCAGGTGAGTTTTGTGGTGCAACCAGTGCAGTGACTTGGGATGAAAGGTGTACAGTGGACTGCAGGGGCCTGTGTTTCATTCCTGGCTCCAGAGCAGGAAGGGTGACCAAAAGCAGGTGTG